GGCAAAATAGGCCTGAAATCAGAATGACTTCCTAACGTTTACTTGTTTGGGCTATTTAATATTACTCTACAACTCACACACTGGTGCTTTATAGTGCCTTAAAATAGAAAGTAGAAACATTACCTGCACAGAGGAAGAAAATAACCAAAAGACTCGCTGTTTCAGAAAAATCCATTGAAACTTCTCTTATCTTTTAGTCACATCAGTAGGTTAATAAAATACAGTTGATGATGCATCCTGGGAGAGGTTAGAACTTTCTGCAAGTTTCAGTAGCTTGGCAGATTTTATAGCAGACAAGCTGTGGTTGTTTCCTCTTTATCTTATTAGCATGCATGAACTCTGGGGTGTATTTTTCTGTTCCACTGACTTGAGTGTGCAGTGAGACTGGTGTGCAGTGTTTAAGGCCCAGTTATCACATTCCACCCTACGTCTCACTATGAAGTGTGCAGGTTACACTCATGCAATAATTAGAGTTGGAACTGTTCAGGTTAGTCGGTACTTGCCAAACCTGTGAGTAATTTTGATGATTGAAAGAAAAAAGATAGTTTGTCAATTGTTTCTTCTGTAGTTTTACAAAATTCACCTGTATCTCCAAATGAGAATAATTACCAAAGATTACAGAGACTCATTTTAAACTCTGGCTCCAGTTTCTCTTAGCAGCTTCATCTCACACCCAACCAGCAACACATGAAGACATCCGCTCTTTAGGAGGTGATAAAACTGACTACTGATTAGCCAGTTTAGTTTCTCAGAAAAACATGACTTTTGCTTACCATCTTCCCTTTTAGGGATGATTCAACTGAACTGTTCTGTTCTGCACCAAGTAGTTTGGACCTCTACACTGTCGTCTGCTGGGCCCCTGGCATCGCAGAGCGGGTCAGAAAGAGACTGAACAAATTAGTGAGAAAGGCTGTTTCTGTCCTAGGCTGTGCTTTGGACTCAGTGGAGGAAGTGGCTGAGAAGAGGGTGCTGTCCAAGCTTACATCCATCATGGAGAACACCTTTCACCCTCTGCACTAAAGTGTAGAGGAACTAAGCAGCTCCTTTAAAAAGAAGCGCTACCGCAGGTCATTCATCCCTGCTGCAACCAGACTCTACAATGTGACACTACAATGGCTATAATGTGTAATTACTACTTAACACCCTTTGCGATAACCTGTTTCTACAGAAGCCCTGAAAGTTGTAATGGATAATTATCTACAGGTAGGTGAACATAAACTACTTTAAGTAAATGT